AATATAAGTTCTCAAATATCTCCCTTCCGCTTTTTTGTATTTTGAATTTCGCGGCTATGTACAAAGCGCTACAGTGCTCGTATCTGGCAACACTATACTTAATTTGAAAGATCTTGACACAACCTACAAAACAACGCTATGCATGATTAGTTTGGATATTGCGTTCAACAGTTATAAACGTGTAAACATGGAGTTCACTAACGCCGAAATTCGCGCAATTTTGAAGATTTCCTTCGTTAAAGGCAAATCCGCTAAATAAACGTTCCGTGAGATTAATGGTGTTCTGGGAGATGAAGCTCTATCACTTCGAACCGCGTTTTGTATATTATTAATATACAATACGAGGAAGGTATTAAAAGTTGCCGTCTACATGGAAACAATCAACGAACAAAACTAAATCCGATCACTGTAACACCTTTTATGAAGCATTGAATGAAGAGCAAATAAGAGGAAGGCAGATATTTGTCAACTTAAAACTCAAAAAGATTTGTTTTACTTGTATCAATAATTGCAATACAAAATTTTAACTAAATCCGATCACTGTAACACTTTTTATAAAGCATTGAATTAAGAGCAAGTAAGCGGAAGGCAGATATTTGACAACTTATAGTAATAATAATGTGCAATACAGTCAAAAAAGATTTGTTTTAACTTGTATGAATACTATACAGTACTGTCAAAAAGATATCTTTTAACTTATAAAGGTTGTCAAATATCTCCCTTCCGCTTTTTTGCTCTTCATTCAATGCTTTATAAAAGGTGTTACAGTGATCGGATTTAGTTAAAATATTGTTTGGCATTTTATTAATTTAAGTTAAAACAAATCTTTTTGACTGTATTGCATATTATTAATATAAGTTGTCAAATATCTCCCTTCCGCTTTTTTGCTCTTCATTCAATGCTTTATAAAAAGTGTTATCGTGACGAAATTTATTTAAAATATTGTATTGCATATTATTAATATAATTTAAAACAAATCTTTTTGACAAATATCTCCCTCCCGCTTTGTTGCTCTTCAATCAATGCTTTATAAAAAGTGTTACAGTGATCGGATTTAATTAAAATTTTTTGACTGTATTGCCTATTATTAAATTAGGTTGTCAAATATCTTCCTTCCGCTTTTTTGTATTTTGAATTTTGCGGCTAAGTACAAAGCGCTACGGAGCTCGTATCTGGCAACACTATACGTAATTTGAAAGGTAATGTTCAATACACTCAAAAAGATTTGTTTTAACTTATATTAATAATATATTTAATACAATATTTTAACCAAATCCGATCACTGTAACACTTTTTATGAAGCATTGAATAAAGTGCAAATAAGAGGAAGGTAGATATTTGACAAGTTATATTAATAATATGCAATAGAGTCAAAAAGATTTGTTGTACTTATATTAATAACTGCAATTTAAAATTTTAACCAAATCCGATCACTGTAACACTTTTTATAAAGCATTGAATTAAGAGCAAATAAGCGGAAGGAAGATATTTGACAACTTATATTAATAATATACAGTACTGTCAAAAAGATCTCTTTTAACTTATTAAGGTTGTCAAATATCTCCCTTCCGCTTTTTTGCTCTTTATTCAATACCTTATAAAAGGTGTTACAGTGATCGGATTTAGTTAAAATATTGTAGTGCATTTTATTAATTTAAGTTAAAACAAATCTTTTTGACTGTATTGCATATTATTAATATAAGTTGTCAATTTCCCTTCCGCTTTTTTGCTCTTCATTCAATGCTTTATAAAAAGTGTTACCGTGATAAAATTTAGTTAAAATATTGTATTGCATATAATTAATTTAATTTAAAACAATTCGTTTTGACAAATATCTCCCACCCGCTTTGTTGCTTTTCAATCAATGCTTTATAAAAAGTGTTACAGTGATCGGATTTAATTAAAATATTGTATTGCATATTATTAATATATTTTAAAACTAATCTTTTTGACAGTATTGCATATTATTAATATAAGTTGACAAATATCTCCCTTCCGCTTTTTTGTCTTTTGATTTTCGCGGCTTTGTACAAAGCGCTACAGAGCTCATATCTGGCAACACCATACTTAATTTGAAAGATCTTGATATAACCTACAAAACAACGTTATGCATGATTAGTTTGGATATTGCGTTCAACAGTTATAGACGTGTAAACATGGAGTTCACTAACGCCGAAATGCGCTCTATTTTGAATTTTTCCTTCGTTAAAGGCAAATGCGCTAAAAAAAAACGTTACGTGAGATTAATGGTGTGCTGGGGGATGGTACTCTATCACTTTGAACCGCGTAGGAATGGTTTGGACGATTAGGAGCCGGAAGGGAGATATTTGACAACCTATATTAATAATATGCAATACAGTCAAGCAGTGATCGGATTTAGTTAAAATATTGTATTGCATTTTATTAATTTAAGTTAAAACAAAGCTTTTTGACTGTGTTGCATATTATTAATATAAGTTGTCAAATATCTCCCTCCCGCTTTGTTGCTCTTCAATCAATGCTTTATAAAGAGTGTTACAGTGATCGGATTTAGTTCAAATATTGTATTGTATATATTATTAATATAAGATAAAACAAATTTTTTGGNCCATTCGCTTCACTTCTTTATCAAGCCTGGAGAAAGCAGAACTAACTGCGCGTTTATTGAGACCGATAATGTTAATATCATCGGCGTACGCCAGTAGTTGTACACTCCTATAGAAGATTGTACCTTTTCTATTCAGCTTTGCAGCTCCAGCATCAAATTGAAGAAATCGCACGACAATGAGTCACCCTGTCGGAAACCTCGTTTGGTATCGAACGGCTCAAAGGCTGTACTTTTGTAAAGTACTTTTTGTGGAATATTGCGGATGCGACAGTCCTTAGCCGGATAAAAATCCGGGTCGTTCCGGTATAAAGACCCGACTGTCGCGAAAACTTCTGGAGCTTAAACGCTTCTTACGACAGGTATGCCTTACCGCGGGTAAATTCTTGAACCCCTAACCCGCAGTGGCTCCAATCGTCGGGCATGCTTTTATCCACCCAAATACGAATATTTTGAATAGAAGCTGATGCATGTACCTGATCAGTTCTCCACCGCCGTATTTGAATAGCTCGGCCGGTAACCCACAACTGGGCATCCGTCATTAGCTCACACCCAAGTGTGAGAATTTTCGAGCGTTAACCTTTGCAGGCAATCTTTTTGCTTTCTTCGTACTCACGTATCTTGGCCTCTTTCTTTTTTTGTCTGCAGAGGCGTTTTGCTTTCCTCTTCAGCTACAGGTATCTATCCCATCCCGCACGTGTTATGGTCGATCGCTCGATTGGGAGGTAGGCAGTTTATTTCCTCTCCACTGCGGCACCAAATCTCACAAGGACCCAACTTCTTTCGTCCTTGACCAGTTCACCGCAAATTTTGGACGGCGGTGAAGTCAGCCTTTAACTTTAAAACATATATATCAACCAGCTGGGCAGCGGCACCTTACCAATTAAGAGATCGGTAATTCCAGGTGCATTCCCTAGTATCGTCATCTCTAAAACATTTGCGGGGGTCGTCATCAGAATGGGGGTCTCTCATCTGCGGCTGATTAAAGTTTTTTTTACATCTATATTTTATTACGTATTTTGTAAAGGCCAAATACCAAACTCTTTAAGTCGCTCTGGCTCACGTTCTGCTTTATGGAGCGGAGACATAGACGGCGACAACATCTGACGCCTTAGATGGATAGACTATCGCTAAAACAATAGTTTAGTTATTTTTTCGTTTGTTTGACTTGAGTATTCCCGAATCCTCAGCGTTGTTGATAATTTTTGAAGCGTATGTGGAAGGAGTCGCATTCTTGCATAATGAGATTTTCTATTTGTTGGCTGAATAGTTGTTTAAGGATAGGGATATTTCTTTTTGCATGCTAAACCTGACCGGGAATTTTCAACCGTTGATCAAGAAGGCACTCATTTTATCGCGTTATTTTGTGTATGTATGACCACACATAACTTTTTACACTATGATCCGGGTTTTATAACTTTTTTTTAGTGGACAGCTTCTAATTGGTCTAGTTGGGAAAAAAGGTTAATCATAGAGTTAGGAAAGAGGACTTAATTCTTTGTTTTCGACGTATAATGCCGCATATAACGATGACACTTAACCCGATTTCGTTATTTGTTTTTGATAAGATATACTCTAAAGTTGGTCCCCCACGAGCTTGGAGGACAAGTTTTAACCAAAGGGGTAGGATATGGCAGAATCTTTTTATTCAGCAATATAATCCCGTATACTTGACATGGATATGACCTGAAGACCGATTTTGATATTTCTTTTTGTTTTTGATAGGGTATATTTTGAGGTTGAACCCACAGAAACCTGAAGTAAAATTCCAGCGGAGGGGTAGGGGAGATGATTCATTCAACGTTTAATCAAAAATGTCATAAATCATAAATAGTATTTTTTTCGAATAGATCGGTCCTTGTCTCCTTCCGAAAAACGACAGTGGTCTTAATTAATATAGGATAGGATTTTCAATGAAAATATATTTTTTTATTACAGTTTTTGTTATTTATATGTTTACATATTTTCATAATAGCAACTTCTTTGATATTGTTAATATTATTACTATTACAATAATAAATCCATGCCATAAAATATAAAACCATTTGAAGTATATATAGTTGGATATACAATATGGAGATGAGTATCAATCATCCAAGTACTTTGTAAATCATATACGAGACTCATAAAACTTAATACCTAAAAAATGTAAGTGTATATAGCAAGCAATTTATATATGTTATTATCAAAAAAAATTTATACAAATTATTTTTTAATTTTTGAATAATTTTAGGAACGCATTTTTTTAATGTATCATCAAAAAATTATGTATATATCGCCTACTTACATACATATCCTTTCAAAACTGTTAGATACCTCAAGTTTTATGCTACAGTCTATTTGTTAAGTTTGTATAATTGTGTTGTAAATTATTTAAGAGAAATATAGCAGATAAACCATACATGGGATAAATATCTTAAATTAAATTATTCGCGGATGGCACAGAGTGCACATCTGTTGTATTATTTTCTGTCTTGTGTAGAGGATCGCAGTCGGCAATAAACTCAACATGTGTAAATGGAAAATGACCTGTTTTACCCTTAAGCTCTCCTTCCCATTGGCCGTTTATATTCGTTTTCGTTACCTTAATTATAGCTCCAACAAGGGGTTGTTTCACACGTGCATAGGCTGGTAGTTTTCGCTTTTTGATTATATAGAATGAAACTTATATATTTATTGTATAATTTTTTGTTAAATAACAAATACATTCATTTAAATCGGACGTTTTAAGCGAATTGCTTAGTTGATGGCAATTTGTGGCGGTTGGGTGAATAGTGGCGTCACTTTTACATGTTACACTAGCGAAAAGCGCAGAACGCTGATTGTTACTCGGACCTAACATAATACCACAATTGCTTAAACTCAATAAAGGCCGATCAATGCTATGGTCCTCTGTATTACCTTCACACTATGTTTAAATGTATATTAAACAGAAGTATATGTAATGTTATATATGTGTATTTATATACATGAACAACTGCATTCGTTATGAATAAATGCTACTCCCTTATATAAAAACTTACTCTTTGAACATAAGGTACAGGTCTTTGTCCAATTTGTCCCTGCTGATTTTTTGCTGTCCACCATTGATCCTCATCTTTACGAATTATAGTCAAAATTTCACCACGTCGAAAAGGGAGATCATCTTGGTCCTAAATAAATGGTTTTTGAACATCTTAAGTTATCAGCAATGTTAAGCATTTCCGCTTACACTACTTTCAAAGTCATATCTTCTTATAACTTTTTCGGGCTTCTTTGGTGCAGGACGATGAAGGGGTGTAGTGTCAAGATAGTGCATGTATAAAAAGAGCAGTTTTGGTAAATTTTCAAATAACTGATCCCCTACTCGATAAAAAGTTTGATCCTGTTGCTGTATCTTGTTGATAATATAGTTAGTGTCTTCTCTAAAGAAATATACAAATACATCCTCTAATATATTAATGTTGTAAAGTTAAAAGTAGTTTGGTATTAACAACTGATACATCAATCGTGTTTCGTATATATATATATGACATATAAAAAACTAAATAAACACGCACCTTACACACAATAGAAAATCAACAGCTATGGAGTTACTATCACGCACTAGAAATACACCGCGGTCCCGTTCACTCATTAGCACTTCGGTAGCATCTTGACGGGTCATGGGGCCGAAATACCAACTGAAAAATTGGAAATCATTTAATATTCACCCTTGTTTGGAAGGACATAGAATTTGAGAGGTATAAGTGAACTTAAAGTTAAGGATCAGAAAACATAAAATACAAAGTTTGTCAGTTCAACTAATAATGAATTGCGGTAATAGTCCTTCAAGAGTTAGAATATGTTTTTCTTTAGTTCAGTTGACATTTGCTGAGTGATTTTTACGTCCACCCCGAGGGNTCGAATCCTTTACACTGTTTAGTACTTACTTACTTTACTGGCGTAGACAACGCTTACGCGATTATAGCCTTTTTACAACTGTGCGCCATACGTTTCTTCTTTTTGTTGTTTGGCGCCAATTGGAGATCCCAAGTATAGCCAGGTGCTTCTCTTCCTGGTCTTTCCAACGGAGTGGAGGTCTTTCTCTTCCTCTGCTTCCACCGGCGGGTACTGCACTTTGAAAGCTGGAGTATTCGCATTCATACGGATCACATGGCCTAGCCAGAATACGTGTAGCCGCTGCTTCTTGATTCGCTGAACTATGTCAATGTCGCCGTATGACTCGTACAGTTCATAGTTCCATTGTCTGCGGTATTTGCTGTTGCCAAAGCCCAAAGGACCATAAATCTAACGCAAAACCTTTTCTCGAAAACTCCTAACGCCGTTTCATCGAATACTTTCATCGTCCATGCTTCCGCGCTATATAGCAAGACGGAAACGGTAAGGAGCTTGTAGAGTTTTGTTTTGGTTCGTCGGGAGATCACTTTACATTTCAATTGCCTACTCAGTCCAAAGTAGCACCTGTTGGCAAAACTGATTCTGCGTTGGATTTCAAGACTGACGTTATTATTGGTGTTAAACGCTGGTTCCTAGACAGACGAAATTAGCTACGGCTTCAAAGTTATGACTGTCAACAGTGACGTGGGAGCCAAGTCGCGAATGCGATGACTGTTTATTAGCTGACAGGAGATATTTCGTCTCGTCCTCGTTCACTACCAGAACCATTCGCTTCGCTTCTTTATCAAGCCTAGAGAAAGCAAAACTAACGGCGCGTTTATTGAGGCCGATAATGATAACATCATCGGCGTACTCCAGTAATTGTACACTCTTATAGAAGAGTGTACCTTCTCTATTTAGCTCTGCAGCTGTCATCATTCTCTCCAGCATCAAATTGAAGAAATCGCACGACAAAGAGTCACCCTGTCAGAAACCTCGGCTCGGAGAGGTCCTTCCCAATTCTGACACCTCTTCTAGTATTGTCTAGCGTTAGCTTGCACAGCCGTATAAGTTTTGCGGGTACAGAAATCGTTCGGCAGTCTGCTGTGATTGCACCTTTTCAACATCGAAGTTTCCTTGTGTTTGTTGAGGAGCGTTCTTCGATACACAGAGGCGCATGCGTATCTTCGCTGCAACAGGAAAACGGTCCGAGTCGATGTTGGGTCCACGGAGTGTACGCACGTCATGAACCCTGGATATATGTGTTCCGTCTATCACAACATGGTCGATCTGGTTTTGTGTATATCGATCAGGGGTCAGCCAAGTAGCTTAATATATTTTTTGTGCTGGTATCTAGTACTACAGATAACCATATTTCGGGCAACGGGGAAGTCGATCAGAATCAACCCATTAGGGGATGTTTCGTTGTGAAGGCTGAATTGTCCAACAGCCGGACCAAATTTACCTTCTTTGCACACCCTGACATTAAAGTCGCCAGGCACGATTTTCACGTCGTGTCAGGGGCAGCGCTCGGCCAAATCGTCCTTCTCTTCCATCGGGGCGGGCGCAAGTCAGCGATATGTTGAAAAATTTCGGTTTGATGCGGATTGTGACGAGGCGCTCATCCACCGGATTGAATGTCAGTACTCGACGACGGAGTCTCTCTACCACCACAAATCCAACACCAAATTTGCGCTCCTTTATATTGCCACTGTAGTAGATGTCACAAGAACTTACGCGCTTTCGTTCTTGTCCCGTCCATCGCACTTCTTGGACGGCGGTGATGTCAGCCTTTATGCTAACGAGGACATCAGCCAGCTGGGCAGCGGCACCTACCCAATTAAGGAACCGGACATTCCAGGTGCATGCCCTCACTTTTGGTGAACAGACGCTGCAATTAGGCTTTAGCAGACCTTAAACCGAATAAGTCTGATTGGCTCCACTGAAGTTTCCTTTCTCATTAGAATCTTGCACAAGGGTTTCTCACGTTTCCAGGGAGCGCGACGTGGACGCGAGAGTAGGAATTGAGAATATCCTCGCAACTGATTATAGTTGACTTTAATATGAATTGTAAGTTAGTATATGATATAGTTAGTCCGAATTGTATGATTTTGGGCTGCGATAATGCACATGCATACAACGTGTACAATTCCGAATTTTATGTTCTCAAATGGTAAATTAAGGAAATTACGTATCTGAACGAATTTTCTGGTTTCTACAAACTGATCTTTCATCATGCTATCTAATAATGAATTACGGAAATAGTCCTCCAAGAGTTAGAATAAGTTTTTTTTGGTTCAGTTGACATTTGTTGAGTGATTTTAACGTCAGACAGTAATGCTTTAACATTTGCGTTGCAACCCAACAGCTTCCTTTTGTAACGTGAGGGAGTATATGATATAGTTAGTCCGAATTGTATAATTATTGGGCTGCAATAATGTACATGCAATGTATACACAAGAAATAAGAACGTAAACACATTTTTCGGGAACCGCATCGACGGGACCGAAAGGGCCAGCACGGCCCACCTCTTTGACCAAAACACTTCGGCAATGCTAGACCCCAAGAGGGAAAGCAAAGAAAGAAACCGACGCCCCCCAATGGTAAGGCAAAAATTCCAGCAGGGACCCTTCTTGAGAGGCCCGCACAGGGGAGAGGGGCCAGCGCAATACCCTACACGGGAAAGGCGCCCAGCCAGAATCCGCTAAATCACCTGGAGCAACGGGAGTAGGTGACCTAGATTAACGCCCTCCGTCAGGGCACACAGGGATAGGAAAGCAGCCCCAAGATAGTGGGAAAGCTTAGTGCAATCCCTGCCGACAAACTGACGGAGGATTAAAAGGCTAGCCTCGGCTGGGCAAAAAACGTTCTCACTGTCGTAGGAAACCGGACGATAATAGAGTCAGGCAGCAAGAGCCAGAGACCCCTTTTGATAACAACAAAAAAAATGCCTGGGTCCATGGAAAACACTTTACGTGGATCCCAGAGACCCATGCCTTTGGCTGCCATTAAAGGCCGGGTGCCCAACCTGCAAGCCCCTTTATCGAGGTTGCCATAGAGCTCCTCACTCTAGGTGTCGTAGGCAGCGGGCACTCGGATGGGTCCTTTCACCAGACAACTGGCAAACTGTACTGAAGGGGATTTGCATGGTATACAAGGGTATACCTCAAAGATACCCTGGCCCTGCACCCGTGGTGCGCGACGCAAGGTGGCTTATACCCACCTAACGACTCCCGAAAAAGTGGTTCCCACTGATCCGGACATCGCCTTGAGCGAATCGGATGATGGAACATTTCCAAAGGAAGATATGGGATAGCCGGTACGCGCCAAAGACACCATGAGTGGATTGGGGGTACAAGACGACCCGGCGATAGGAGTCCGCGTCAGCTCAGATGCGGAAGTGAAACGTTCTCGATATCTGAATACATTGGTATGGTTTTCTCCCGCTGAGAAACTATGGAGGCGGACCAGCTTTTAAACTCTGAACCCGAAGGGGAGGATATTGACGTCACAGTCATAACCTTCTCCGATGCAGAGAAGACCGAGCTCATGGACCTATCAGCTTCTCATGATGGTGCAGACACTTCAGGTAAATCTGCACCACTCAAAGGCAGCGTCAGCTGCCATTATTCTGCGGCTCGGTGAGAAAGCGGAGAACTTAATTTTAGTCCAAGAACCCTGAGTAGTTGCAAACAGGGTTTTCTTGCATTCTTATTAAGAAAAATATCTTTTATTTTCTTCTTTTTCAACACAGCGACCGAGACACAGTCAGCATCGAAATAAAACATGAGGTGAAGCGCCTGTTAGTATTCTCCTCGGCTGTAGTCAATGAACCATCTTTCTCTGACTATCTATACATAGCCTTTCAACTCACTATGAGAACACCATGAATCACTCCGTACAGAACAAAAAAGACACGACACTACTCGCGATAAGTTCCGCTTATCGTTAAGATCTAATGAAGCGGTGACATCTCGCACAAGGTCTGTTTCTTTCGGTGAGCTTGACTCATCGTCGAAAATTAATGAAGCAGTAGACTTTATCCCCAATGTCTGTAATGGCGCTTTTGATGCTTCATGCCCCTATCTATCCCATCTGGTGGACTAACGAAATCCCTGAGCTACGATAAAGTAGCCGAATACTCTTTAATGAAGCCAAAGAACGAGCTCGTGGCAATCTTATGAAGTATGCCTCATAGAATTCTTATAAAGCTTGACCGATATCTTTCAAAACCTCTATAAGGAATGCAATACGAAAATCTCGGAAGGCCTTCTGCAGTGACATTGACGGAAATGCAAAAGGTAACAGACTAAGGAAAGTTCTATCCAGGAGCTCCGCAATCCCAAACTATATCCAGAAACCGGATGGGGTATGAACTACGTGAAATGCTGGATATCCTCATCAGCACTCATTTCCGACCGAATTTCACGCATGAAAGTTGAGTGCTTCTCTGACATTGGCAGCATCGTATGTCGCAAAAGGGTAGAATGAGCGATAAAGTCATTCCAGCCCTTTACATCTCCAGAGCTGCCCCGCCTAAATACAGAGGGCTGAGGACAACTTATCCTCACTTCTATGCACTTTCATCGCACACGCTGATTAGGAAATTACACAACTCAGGAGGTGGTGTGGTGGCATACGCTGATGACTTTGCCCTAACAGCGATGGGTAAACATTCTCAAACTTTAAGTGATCTCCTCCAAAATGCTCTCTACAGTGTTAGAAACTCCTGCAAGGACAGCGTACTGAACGTCAACCCAGATAAAACAGAAATGGTTCTTTCTACCAGAAGGCAAAAACCGAC